CCCCTTTCCCTCTCTCACCCCTATAGCCCTCCTTCCCCCTATCCCCCCCACCCCGTGTGTGCCTTCTTCTCTCCCCGAAGATTGGCACAAGTTCAAGAAGCTTCTGGCCTCTAAGACGTTCGCCGTGCACGACACAAAGCGCATCAGGGGCGAGGACCTCACGGCCGAGTGGGCGGCGGAGAACGGCTTCCGAGAGCCTGTCATTGCACCGGATAAGGGCGGCATGGGCCTTGAGGTACCCCACTCTTGCCTTCGGCGTTTCCCGCGTAGTGTTGTACATACCAGTTGTGAGCTATTTTGAAGCTGCTGCGTGCTGATTGTTTTGGGTTCAGGCACATGCTTAGCTTGTCTGCAGATGAGGGAATGTGTGCTGTTTATCGATGGGCGGGCAGAACCTGTGCGGCACGTGGCTGCCGTGGCGAAATTGCGGGGGCCAATGAACGCAGTGCGGACGTGTAATGCTGTGTAGTGCGCCATGCGTCACAGATGCAACTCATTCCTGTTTTCATGATGGAAACTGTCCTCCTAGGACTCTCTGTGCAGTCCGCTATTATCGCGCCTGCTGCGGCCTTTGGTTGAGTGCCGCAGGGCCACACCTACTGCATGCACGCTGCATGGCCACGCGGCCACGTTGAACGAGAAACCCATGCTCCATTCTAATGTACTTCACACGTTTCGTGACGCTGTACGAAATATTAGGTACCAGATTCGTCCTTCACCGTGGCGGACGTCGCTCGCGTTGTCGGCGAAGACAAGGCCATCCGACCCATACACGTGGGGGAACAGGCTAACATCGATCAGGTAGGGCTTGGCTTGCCACCCACACCCACACCCCCACCCACAACATGAGAGTAAAGGGACGAGGTGGGGTTGTTGTTGTTGCCAATCTGGTCTTGGCGTTTGTGGTTTTGCTCACATAAAAAGGCGTTGTTTTTTGTCCGATTCGCACGGAGTCCGGACGTTAACACAAGGGGCAGCTGTCTGCAAAAGTCTGGCATATCCTGAGGTTGCGTTAAATACGTGTAAGTTTCGATGTGTGACCAATGTTTGATGTACGCTTGGTAAGGAAGCCGTTCGAAATGCGCCTGCCCCCATTTGTTCGGAAGCGATATAAACGGGCATCGCCGCAATGGATAGGCCGCCGCCCCCACCTCCCACCCGCCCCGTCCGCTTCTTGTTTACCTCTGATCTCTTTCCCATCCCCCCTCCGCCTCCCCCTGTGCTTTTGGCTACCGTGTGCCTACGTAGAGCATGACGCTGGCCGAGTTTGCGGAGTACTTCGAGACGTGCACCAAGCCTGGACAAGCGATCCTCAACATGATCTCCTTGGAGTTCAGGTGCGCGTTAAGCAGCCCACGCAGTGCACGGGGGAAATCGAGCAAGTATGTTTCAAACACCCGAACAGGCTAGTTGGAGAACAGGCGGCAATGTTTTTTTCCGGCACTTGACGAGACGGCAGTAGACTTTTTGCCGGGTAGGGTTTGTGTACCGCTAGCGGCGTGCGACTGGCGATGTCCACCGTTCTGCACCGATGACCGTTGTGAACGTGCTTTTTGTGTTGTCGGCATCGGGTCTTTGCATGGCCGGAGAGCCTGAAAATAACTCGTGCAAGCTCTCACTTCGTGGCAGACTACGTATTGAGGATGAGGTTTGGTCCGATCGCGATCGCGCGTGCTGCCCTTTGTTCCCTGGTCCCGGATACTCTTTGTGCAGACGTTGCACTGTATGGATAAGGCGACATAGGGTGTATTCCTCATCGGATTTTTCCTCGCCAGACACCCCACCCTCTCCTTTTAGACCTTGCAACAACAAGGGTCACGGATGCGCCATAACGATGCTGTACATGTAGCGTGTGTGTAGAGGGGAGCGGAGGACTCCAGACTATCTGTCGCTGACTTACACTGGCTTGCGGGCCGTTCGGGTCCATTTTTTTTTTTTGTATACCTTTTTTGGGTAAAGTTAGCCTGTGACCGCGGGAATCGCTCTGTCAAGTGTTTGATCAGTACTGTGCGGACAAGTGAAGATACTGGGTAGAGAGATTGGAACGGTTTTTAATGTGAAGAAAACAACAAACAACAACGACGACAACAACAACAGCAACAACAACATGTGTTTCGTTAAGCTTCCTCCGTTCTCCCTCGTGCACCCTTTTTTATTTATCATGATCCATGATCCAGTGACTCGCCGTTGGCCAAGATGGTTCAGTCGCCGCAGCTCGTGCGAGACATGGATTGGCTTCACCGGTGCTGGCCGGCGGACCGTTTGCAGGAAGGACAGTTCCCTAAGGTGGGGCGGTGGGCAGAGGCCTATGCGCAATAAGGGATTGATGTATGTCCTCTCAAGCCCCCGGTTCGACGGTCGATGGAATATCGACACGCGGAACAATCGCAACCATGGAGGTTTCCGGTGGAAAACTGCATATCTTCTACACTGTTGTAGTGGCATGATACGGTTCCCTGGAGTACGGGTTGTTCACGGCTGTTGCGCCGCTTGTTATTCTGCGACGAACCTATCGTGTGCCCCCCGCCACCGCATGGGCTTCTTCGGCGAGACTTGCTAACGTTTTTTCTTTTGTCTCTTTTGGGCTTTTCATGTTTGGTTTACCCCTCCTCTTTGTTCGTGGACGCTTCAGCCTTTGTGACCGGCCGCGCAGCTTCTTGTCCCACACGACCTGCTCACGCGCTGTGATGTTTTCGCTCTGCTAGGCGGTTCCATCTGCAGTCCCCCTTTGTATGTTTGGTGTCTCAGTTTCTGTGACCACCTGGTACCTCCCACCAGCTTTTAGGGGTCTTTGCGGCAAGGGAAAAGTTCCCCACAAGAGACACCGCTTCTGCTGCATCAAGTATCATTTTCTCGAGTTGGGATTTTAGCCCCCCGGCAAAACACCACTCCACGCGGTCTAATGTTCCCTAGTAGGGCACACACGTACTATTCGGTTGTCCAATGATTATATTTATCTCTCCAACACAGATTTGAAGGCCAATTTGTACCTGATTTATTTTTCCAACGGGACGTGCTCTTGTTTTGCTACACCACTCGTTGTTTGTTATCTCCGGTATCAACGCCAATTATTCCTGCCTTCATGCCCCGTGTGGTCGGACCCTCAGGTTCAGTACTACTGCCTCATGAGCCAGGGCGGCTCGTATACCGACTTCCACGTCGACTTTGGCGGCACCAGTGTGTGGTACCACATCCTAAGAGGCAAAAAGGTGATATAGAAAAAAAATAAGTACTTGGTAATACTACAAAGGTGATATAGCAGTATCAGTGACCAACAATTAAGTTCTACCGCACCAGAAAGTACACGAAAGATTGTTTCACATTTGGGTGCCCCTCTTGGAAGCAGCACGACGCACTTGGCTGTATTTCCGTGCTACTGCAGTATCCGTACGCGAGAGCGTTTTCTCTGGGTAGCGTTGGACCGACATATCCCTCCGGTAGACACGCCGTCTTGTGGGAAAAGTTCTACAGCGCCGCTTACGTGCTTGGCCTTGTGCCCAGCTATCATCGCCGCCCGCTATGCCAATGTACGCCTCTGGCTGTCGCTACTGTAGCGGGTCGCTCGTCCCGCGGTCACCTGAGTTTCTTCAGGCCTTGTCCCCTTCTTAAGTCAGTGGAGTGGTTTTATGCTCACAAGTACAGCAGCATCCAAGGGCGGAACTCCCACAGTGGTAGCGGTGCAATTATTTATTTTGCGAAGACCACAACAATAACATGAAAACGACAAATATCGGAAAATTCGTGTACGTGAACATTCCGCAGGAGTTCCTGCTGATCCGTCCAACGAAAAAGAACCTGGAACTGTACGAGGGCTGGATTAGGAGCCCGACGCAGAGTCAGGTCTTCTTCGGCGACCTCGCCGACACGTGCTACAGGTATATAGGTCGCGCCGGCCACTTGTCTGTAGCCCCCCGTCCCATGTCCGAAGAACGGGCGGCCCTGTCGTAGGTGCAGTCGACTGTTGAAGGTCCGGTTTCAAGTGTTTTGTGGGCGTGGTTGGTGTATTGCGGTGTCTGCAGTCAAAGCAATGTGGAGCTCTCGAGAGTGGTCCCTTACACATGCAATGCCTCCGAGATGTATTGCTCAGTTGTATTTTTTTATTGTTTCTGCAGTTTAACTATTTTCCCAGTTTTGCGGCTTCGTTGCTACCGCCGCTCCGAGAAAAAATTCGGCGTACCTACCCATCGACACCTGCAAGCTCCAGCTTGTTCGCAGAGTGAATTTCGCTCGGGCAAACAACAGACGGAGACACAGCGCTTGTGGTACCGGAGGGGCGTGTTTTGTTGATTCTTCAAGGCAGTGCTCCGGCCGGTATTCCAGCACCGGGTTTCTTGTGTCTCACATTCCGAGTTTTTGTCGCCCTCGATGGCACCGCCTGCTCTCTGTGTTGTTGTTTTATATGTGAATATTGACCGCCTTGCGAGTGTGTGAGTCGGCGCTTGGCCTCATGACACAGCCTGTTGCTGGCTTGCCGTTTTGGTGTGTTTCGATCGCCTTTCGTGGTCGTTGCCGGTGCGTTCTGTTTCGTGATTTTCTCGCCCTCCATGACACCGCCTGTGTTTTTGTTCGCATTTTGTCGTAGTTTTGATCAGCTGCCACGTTTGTGCTCGACTCCACGACACCTCACGTGCTTGGTTGGCACTTTGTTGTATTTTGATCGCCTTTCGTGGTTGTTGTCGGCGACTTCGGTTGTGCTGCCCTGTGCAGGGTGGTGCTCAATGCCGGGGAGACTCTAATGATCCCCTCGGGCTGGATCCACGCCGTCTTCACGCCCAAGCCGTCCCTGGTGTTCGGCGGCAACTTCCTGCACTCGCTCAACATCCCCATGCAGCTGCAGGTATGTTTGCGTGTGTTTGCATGTGGGGCTGGGCTTAACGTTTGGGTGCGTTTCACACGCAGCAGTGCGGCCCGCGCGCGCTGCACACAGCTTTTTACACGGGACGTGTTTACAGCCCAGGGGGTCATGTGTACGGCGTGCTGTAGGTATTGCCGCGGAGGGTGGTGCGTTGTCGGATCGGGAGGTACGTCTACCCTGCGGCATTGCTACCTCCGAAGTTCCTAGGTACATGTGTTTTTGGCATATTTCTCAAAGACAATGCTTGGGAGCTTTGGTGAACATCATCCATCGTCTCTCCGTGCCGAACTGCTCGTGTTTCATTTCGATTCTTCGAGTTGGGGGTATTTGATCGACGGGAACCCTCCTCCGTGTGTCGTGAGTTAAACGGTTTTCCGACAACAACGTTTAACGGGTCGGGGGTGTGTGTGATAGGGTTGGGGTGTGTGTGATGGCGTGTGCTGCGAAGCATGCCGTTGGGTACGATTTGCGACGGCGGTTAAATGAACACCTATGTTACACGATACGGCGACACCGTGTGAATTGACAGGTCCACGGTATCGAGGCGCGGGCCAAGATCCACAGCAAGTTCCGCTTTCCTTACTTCAAGGAGATGATGCTCTTCGCAGCCTCCAACTTCCTGAACACTCTCCGCGAGCAGCAGGTGCGTGGCAACAATCGATTGACACGTGTGGGTCTTGAGGTATATATGTTAGGCGGTGACAAGCGGGGGAGGGTTGGGGTGTGTACTCATAGTCGTGCATGCCGTAGTCGTTAGACCAATTCAATCGCATCCCTACAAAGCCGGGAAGAAGCAAGCCGGGGTGTCACCGGACCAGGCTCTCACATCGCCAAGCGCGAAGGACCGTGACGTATTCGGCGAGTCGCATGAAGGGTGCGATGCATCCTGCTAAGGGTGTTCGGCATCTTACGCTTACTTCCTTGCGCGGATGACAGCTGTATGTGACTTAGTTTATTTTTTTGGTACTTTCACTTCCAACGACAGTTATAAGCACTGTGTAACTGCCTCGAGGGTGCTTCTCAACGTGGTGCGATGATCACCTTTGCGCAGAGTGAGGGTTCTCGACCCCGCTTAACATAATCTACTCGAACATTATGGTTACCGCAAAAAACAAATGCAGAGGCTAAAAAAAAGCGGTAACCTGGCTGCCGCACTATAGTTAGTATGTAGTTTCCCTGATGCTCATCCTCTTACTCACTCCTTCGCTCACTTTGTCACCCATCCTCTACGCACTCACTCACTTACCCACTCACTTACAAACCCACTCACTCACTTACTCACTCACTCACTTATTCACCCACCCATTCACTCACGGAAGGCGCACGGGTTCACTGTTTCACTTTCATGCGCTGCCTCACTTGTTCTCTCAAATAATTCTACTTGTACTGCCTTTACTCTTCACCCTGTCTGCTGGTCTATTCCCTCTTTCTTTGCTTTGTCTGCAGGCCTATGGTCCTTCTTGCACCAGTTCGTTGTATTTCATTTAATTCACTTGGTCACTCAACTTACTCTCGCTTGTGTTTTTTCGCTCGACCACCTTTTACTCTCGCTCGTCCACTCGCAGGGAGAGCTAGACGCACCTAGCACGGAAACCGCCGAAGGCGTTGCCGATGGCCCACGAAGTGAAGTGGGGGCGACGCCTGATGAAAACAGTCCCACGGCAGGGCCTGTAGAGGAACAGAAGCCCGGGGCGGTGGAGGCGAGCGGCGCGACAGGGACCACCGTGCCGAAGAGTGGTGGTGCCGGTAACGGCGCTCAGAACGGTGCCCGAATTTCGCTGAGTTCGTGGGAGAGGGAAGGGTTGCGACCGCTTTTGGAGGTGATGGTTGAGTTGGCTGTATTTGTTATCTTTTCAGCATGTTTTTTTTTTCTGTATGTATACGGCGTGCTGCTTAGTGTATATTTTAAAACATTGTAGAAATTGGATTGTCGGATTTTTTTCACTCAACCGTACTCCGCCGCACGCCCAGCCATCGAGATTGGCACCTCGCCTGAGGGTTGTTTTAATTTGGTAAGGAAACATGGCACCAACTCAACTGTCCGGTTCGTCGTTTACAGGCATGCCGGGCATGGATGAAGGAACAGGAGGAAGAAGAGGGCGGCGGCAATGAGGAGGAAGGCGTGCCGGAAGAGTGGAACCTTGCCGCCGCTTCTGCGGGATGTTCGGACGTCAACGCCATGCTCGCGGAGCTTGATCGTCGTGTCTCCGCCCTGGGAGAAGAGGTACCGTATGTTAGTATCGCCAGCACACGGAAATGTGACGGCGTGGGTTGCCAGAGGGAGGGCGGGGGGCAGGTTTCTGCGTGGAATGTTTCGGTTGTGGTATTCTAGGTGTAGCACGTACCACTACGGCTTCTTGGTGAGATCGCCATGTTCCGTGTCACGTGTCCCGCTTTGTATGGTCGCCGGCGGTATGCCTGGTTGCCCAACCTGTGTGGTCACGGCAGCGAGAGTAACTCTGGCTTTTCTCCCTCCGCCATGATCGCCACGTGGTCCCCATTTTGTCCCATCTTTTTTTTTAAGACAACCACCGATACCAAGGCCACTGCTGGCTCTCCCTCTTGGGCTGGACAAGCAGCCGAGGCCGACATCCTTTCGGATGGTAACCCTCCCGCGATCGGTGGCCCCGGCAGCAGCCCCAATATCTCAACCGACGGCTCTGTCGACAGCAGCGGTGTGACGAATGACGCAGATCACGTGGACCCTGGTGGCGGGAGCGGAGCGGCAGCGCTTCTACTGGCGGCGGCGGCCACAGATACCCTCGAGGCCGACGCGGGCGGGGGGGACGCGCAGATGGCGTCAGCGCCGCCCAATCCCACGGGCTCGACGGCCACCCCACCCGACGGGCCTTGTGGCGGTGGAGGGGAGGGTGATGGGCCAAGGGTCCGGGTGCCGGGGAGGGGTTACCCGACCCCCGAAGACGCCGCGGCGGCGGCGGCGGCGGCGGCGTCCTCGTATTCTATCCCGAAGCTGAAGCTCTCGATCAAGCCGCAGCAGGACCAGTCGTCTTCTTCCTCTTCTTCTCCGCGGGCGTCGAGCAGCAGCCGCGGTGGTGCGAGCGGGAGCGGCGGCGGCAAGGCCGGGGGGGGCGGACTTAAGTTGGTCTTGAAAGGTCCCGCGCTTTCTTCCGCAGGGGGCTCCGCGGGTTCATCAGGGGGATCCGCCGGTGTCGGGCGAGGTAGGAAAGGGGGGGGTGGGGGCGGGGTCAGCGCTGGGAAGAAGCGAGGGAGACAGCAGCAGCAGCAGCAGCAGCAGCAGCAGCAGCAGCGGGAGGAGAGACGATGGAAAGAGGACTCCGATGACTCGGACGAGTACGAGACGAGAGACGACAGCGATGAAGAGGAGGAGGAGGAGGAGGAGGACAGCGGCGACGATACGCGCATCGGCAGGGGGGGCAAGCGGAAGGCGAGACCGCTCGGCAGCAGGCTGAGAGCGATCGCCAGGCTTGGGGATGACGCGGCGGCGGGGGACTCGGACGACGACAACTCGGCGGACGAGTACAAGCCCGATGCTGATGTGAGTCCTCCTGCCTTTTGCATCGGCTCGGTATCGATGGCGTGGAGTGAGCCAACCCTGTTGTCGATAGCGTGTTCCATGAAATAGAAAACGATTAATCTTGGGGCGGGAGAGCATAGAGTGAGGCGTGTTGCGTTGATGGACTTGAGCTCGTGCTCGTGGAGAGAGCTCCTTTTTTGGCAAGAAAGTCGAGGCATTCTCGCTGAGAAATGGGAACGCACCCGAAGCGAAGCTACGGTTTAGGCCTTTCTTTTGTTGATGTCTCGTGTTGTTCCTTGCCAAAGCAAGTTTTGTTGAGTTTATTTTTCCCTTGCATTTTCATGTGAGTCACGGTGCAAGAGATGCGCTCCGGTTGTGCATGTGCCGTGGGGTCTGTTCAGCAGACGAGGAAACTTTCATAAAGCTTTTGTCCACCATGGTTCTGCCCGGCGAAGACGCTTCGAAAGGTGCAGATACAGCAGTAGTACTGACGATGAACATCGGTATTTTTTCTCCCGTCGACCAGCTCATTGATTAAAACATTTGAAACCCAGCCCCCTGGGCGTCCACGAGCTATTTGGCTCACGACCGAACTCGGTGTATGAATGATTGTTGGAAACGGGCATACCAAACCAAACCAATATCCCGCTGCTGGACAGGACGACGTTCTTCCAGAAGATCATAAGATCTACGCCGATGAACTCCCGCGAGAAACAAAAAAAGGGAAATCGTCTCCGGGAGTTGGTGGCGCGCGCCCGCGTAACGCTTGGAGTGGCTTCGGCAGCGGTGCCGGAGGCGGGGCGCGAGCAGCAGGGAGTGGTACGGCCGGGCCGAGAGGGAAAGTTGGCGTGGCAGTGATCGGCGGGGTGCAGCGAAGGCTGTCGGTGACGAAGCAGGAGGCGCTGAGGAGCAAGGGGATGTTCAAGATCGCGCCACCGTCGAAGGTACGCCTGTAGGGATAACACACACGCTCAGGATGGGTTGATGTCGATCAGGAAGGTTTCAGGTGGGGCTTGGCGAGTACCAGTGAGAATCCACACCGAGAAGCCAAGCGCCTAGTTGCTCCAGGCACTCGAGCGGACGGTGGAAACCGGCCTTCCTTGCCGCGAACCTGCGTCGGCTCGACATCCAGACTGATTGCTGGACATGCGTAGGCTGATATCCGAACGAGCGAACGAGTGGAGACACTGGGTTGGTGGATCGATACATGTAGCGTAACGCTGCCCTGCCAGTAGCCAGTGGTTGCACACGACTTCGCCGGTATGTTGGGTTCTTCGTTTGTGCTCTGCTGAGATAGGTTGCGGGCCTTGTCACGCGTAGAGGCCTTATTGTTCGTACGCATTGCGGAACGACTTGCCCGCGCAGCTGCGAGCCCGGCCTGACGCGTACCACCTCCCAGACGCACAACGGGGTCGTCAGGGACAGGTCGTCCCCGGACGCCGCTCCGCCCGCAATTTCGTGCATGATGACTTTGGATTTGCTTTGTGGTACTCTCTGCAAGGACGCAACTAGAATCGAACCGAAAATCCAGAATCTTTTTTTGTTGTCATTTTTTCTACAGCGCAAGCATTACTTGTCGGCCCTATCAAGTTGATCCCCTCTATACCCCCCTTCTTGCGCCCACGGCTCTGCTTGGATTCATGCAGGTGCCCCCGAAGCCGAAGGAAAAGAAACCGCTCACGGCGAAGCAGAAGCTCATGGCGAAGATGCGCCGTTAGGTCTTGTGACCACGCAGCCATCCGTCGGTAGGGCTCTGCCTTTTGTTGCATACAGTCTGTAGGACTTTGCCTGAGTTTTGGATACAGCAGCTAGTAGAGTAGCTGTTGGTAGGGCTTCGCCTAAAGTGTTGCTAACAAGAGCAGTTTTCGGTAGGGCTGTGCCTAAAATGTATAATATGTCGGTAGCGATTTGCCCCGGGGTGTGTATCTGCCTGTTGTAGCACGTCGTTTCCTGCAGGCTGGATGGGGATACGCGCGATGTTCGGTTTTCCTCGAGGGTCGGCGCGAAATATTCACTCTCCGTTCATTCTCACCATGGCCGTCTGTTGTGCAAGCCTTGGGGCGCATGGAGATAGCGCTCTAGAGGACATGGTCGATAGTGTGAGCATCGGAGCCAATCGTCTAACTCACACCATGCAAACGAAGGAGAGGCGCTTGTGTCAAGGTACCGAATGCCGAAGAGTGTCTACGACGGGAAGTTGTGAGATGTTTTCGCTCGCAAAAATACCAACGTAGAACGGCTTGTACGCGTGCTCTGGTTCGAGCCAACATCGCGTATCATTCCCGCCCGCGCGACTTCTGTTGGGTGGCATCATTACGGTTAGCGGGTCCGAGTAAAGTGCAAACATCGAAAGTACTCCTTGTGAATCTCTCGCATGTACCACTGTACACGTATTGCCTCGGTGTTGTTGTCGTGGTTTGGTGAAAAGTCCAAGCAGCCGTCGATATCGCGGGTGCTTCACACGGCTGGAGTTGGGCGGGGCGTGTGGTGGAGTTGCGGGGACGCAATGTTTTTCGCGTTTTTTGGCGTGTGCACCCCACCCATTCTTGTACACTGCCACACACGAACGTAAGGAGGGGTACACCGCAATCCCATGCAGATCATGTAGATAGGGCAGGGGAGTGAACGCCACTCACCGTTTGTTACACCCCGCGGTGGCCTTGAATGGCCGCCTGACTCTCACCATCATCGGCGTTGGCTTTATTTTAGTCAAGCCATCTCGAAGTTCGTGCGCTGCAGTGCAATACGTTCGGAGTATGGCATGTCATGTCTTCATCTGGACTACTGTACTCTACAACAGTTGACATCGGTTAGAGTACTGGACTTTGCGATGCTTGATCTCTCCATCGGGAGTTTGGATGCCCCCGAACTTGGTCAAGATTTTTTTTTCGGACGGTGTCGAGGGGAAGTTCAATGAAACGTGCGTAGGATGCCTTCAGGCAAGCGGTGCGACAAACTGGACAAGCCGCGCCGCTTTAAGTTCGGGTCGAAGATTCATTAATCTCGGTTCGGCAAGTGGAGTTCCATTGTTTCACTTTGAAATCGGGCATATCATTTGGGACGAACGGACCCAACCACGCGACAACCGTCAATAATCGTTTACTGTTTCAAGGAAGATGCAGGTCAGTGTGTGACTCAACGAACGAGGTCACCGTGATGTCACACGATTTCAGCTCAAAATGCTTGAGACGAGTTTGGGAGAATCGATGAAGTTTTGCCGGGTTAGAGAATCACCGAGCGACGGGCAGGCCTTCCCGGCAGTGCACTTGCACAATTCGTCTCTGAGGGGCGACCGCGAGACCAACATGCGGTCTTAAAGTTCGCCCTTCCTTTTCATTCGTAAGTGTATTCTGCGGCAATTTCTGACAACTCACTTTGAGAGAACACAGGAGATGAGAACCACGATCGACAATTTCCAGCGACAGCCTCTGACGATGGTTTGCGTCTGGCTATTGGGCCCAACCACACCAGCACGCGAACGCGATGAGCCGACCGGGCTCAAACTCGCTGCCGGGGGCACTAGGGCCAGACGGGCGATGGCTACCTGCTCGCGGCGCTGGCACTCGGCTTTTCGTGGTTTGGGAGCTTCCGTGGTTGATGGACAAGACGCACACTTTCATTGTTTTGTTCATGGCTTGTTGCAACCTCAGAGAAACACTTGGTAGTCAATGCCTGGACCACCAGCTGGGGTCACGACGGAGAAAATTTCTACATTGTCTCAAGGTGCTGGCCTTCAAAATGTGAGAAGGGCTCAGCAGACTTCACTTCTTGGCAAATGCGAGACATTTCACTCTGGAGAGATTCGAATACACAGCCGACGTATAGGTAGAGAGGCGGATGAATTTTTCTTGGGGTAGTGAAGTAAATAGCTGAACTCAGCCACGGTTTTGTGCCGGGCCCCAATTTTCCCTCAAGTAGTAGGAACGACTGCAGCACCCGCGTTCGTACTTTCCGAACATGGGAGTTCTTCTCGAGGTATGCTGTGACGTGACAAAACATGCCCCATGAAGGGGCAGAGTCGCATGTACCGGGAAATATTGATATTCTCTGGGTCGAACAATGCTTTGGTACTACTCCAATCTCTCGAATCGCGGCCTCGACTCAGACAGTCGAGACACACGACATTCTCTGGACCGTCTACGACCCCCACGGCTGGAAAGAAAGACAGATAGGGACATCCGGAGGTATCGATAGTCGAACCATCTATCGGTGGCGATGACGACAAATACACCATTCACTCATGCTCATCCACATCCATTCACTCTCGGCTACCCCCAGCCACCCTCCTCACGCCACGGACCTCGACAGTTTCACTCTGCCAACTTATACATATCGATGAGCAAGGGGACAGCGCTCTCCTACTGCCGTAACCACGCCCAAAACAAGGGGCGGGTCTTCTCGTTTTCCACTTTTAGCACGTGTGCGTGCCACCAACGCGTGTCAGAACATGATACTTCGAAAAGAGGCTCGTTTTCTTATTGCCTCTGCGGGTACCCCAACATCGCCCATATTGGTTTTAAGATTCTCCACTGAGCACCTGTTCTGACGGTCGAGTTCACAAACTTGTCAACCTGAACTTCTTTCTAGCTCTCAGGTTCGTGAGTCGTGCCGCACACTACTGTATTCTGCCTAGTGATGGTGCTTATTTCGGGCCGTCCTCTCCACTTCGCTCCCCATGCTGCCGCTTGAGCTCCTCGTGTCGAACCTTCAAGCAAAAACGAAAAACGATTGCAGTGTGAAGCGATACACAACAGTGGTCAAACGGAATGTTCAGGTCGCTTCCTGCTGCAGCACTTGGGCCTCCGCATTTGCCGTTCACAACAACGAGCTCTGTTCGGTTCTAATACGTTGGGACTGTCCTCGCTGAATCTGCTTGTCTCTCTAGATTTGGGATCATTGGAACTCGACGCTGTTGACGAGAGCCATGAGTTACTCCAGGGCTTGAATCTGTGTTTACAAGTTTTTATGCCGTTCTTGGGTGGCATTGTGACCACGTGTAGTCGCCATTTCCCATTAGGGACGAGGAGGGACTGGGCAATACTTATGTCAAAACGTTTCGTTCTTCGAAGGCACCGACAGCAGCCCGCCCACGACAACACCCATCTAGGTCACATGAACGCAATACCTCACAGCCGTCCAATAGAGCTACTGCAGATCACCACGTGGCGGTCTTGTCAACAGACAAAATTCGACCAAGTGCGAGATAGTGTAACAACGGGGGAAAAAGCGCGAAGCCACAGAGGGCAGCAGCAAACAGCGGGATCAAAACCAACTAATTGTCCAATGCTCACCTTGGAAGCTTTTGCAACAGCCTCTCTCGCCCGCTCCGCTGCCTCCGCCGCCGCCCTAGACGCCTCGCCAGAGGCCCCCTCGCCCCCACCCCCCCACCTCTCCAAGTCTTCCTTGCTCGCGAAGTCAGCCTCGGCAGGTTCCTGCGAAAAAAAAAAAGAGCTTCGAGTTGGTTGATGTCGGTTTCATTATTGTTGAGGGATCTTGACGTTGCGGTCATTGCATGCCAATTCAACAAACAGGCCACCGCGATTGTCAACCCTACCGGTGGTCAAAAACCAGGAAATTCATATCCTTCAGTGACACTACAATCGTACACTCGGGCGTCAGGAATCGTCGAGGAGGGAATACAAATTCCTGAATCCCTCCGACACACACAACCATCTAGAAAAGTATTACTGTACGTAAGAAAATCGCCAGATAGGAACCCGTTGTGTGCTCCAGGCTAACATGCTCCAAAAAGTACCCAGCGCCAAGATGGTGGAGGAAAAAAAAAAAATCAATTTAGTGATTTCGTGGGTGCTTTAAGAGGGGAGCAACCGCTTAAGCCCTCACGCAAATAAAGACTCGATCGCCGCATAGGAATGAATCCTTCTGTGTGACCTCGGTTCGAAGCCGTGGTGTTGGTAGACGCTGTAAACAGCGAAGAGGCTAAAAGTGATCGTGCTACAAAGAGAACGCATAGATAATGTCGCGTTCAGATATTCAACGAGCAAAGCCGAAAACACCACAAAAAGGCGAAAAAAAGACTCCTCCTGTATGTACGCGCACCGCAACCACGCAACCAGAGTCCTCACCCGAATTCCAAACCACGCGTCACCAGCAAAAAAAAAAAAAAATCGACCGTCATCGGTGCACTTTCTTTCATCGTCATCCCTCCACGCACCTTCTTGTCGGCTGGAGCCGCGGGCGCCGGCATGTCCTCGGGCAGCGGCCACCCCAGGGCCTGCTGCACCGGCCGCATCTCGAACAGCCCCCGCTGCAGCATGCCGAAGACGTTTGTGGTCGTCCAGTAGACGAGAACGCCGGCGGGCATACTGAAGGCCACCGGCACGAAGACGACGCTCATCACGCGGAACATGACCTTGGGGTTGAAGTTGGGCTTGTCTGGGCCATGGGCGGCCGGCATGTCGGACCCCAGTTCCATCAGGAGCTGCGGTCGGTGCCGTGTGTGCGGATTTTGAATATGAGAGAGAGACAGAGAGACAGAGAGACAGAGAGACATACAGACAGACAGACAGACAGACAGACAGACAGACAGACCAGAGAACGCAAGAAGAGGCGCGGTGGGTGGCGAGAATACAGGGATACCAGAGTTTACCTAGCACCGAGCATTTGGAAAGAAGCATCCGCATGGTACTCGTTCCGGTTGGATGTCAGGTCGGACGTCGTCATACGCATACCAACGATTGTACCGGAACGAAAAGGCTGCAGCCAGCAACCAATCGCGAACTTTCCACGGAGGGGTGAAGGCGTTTCTGTACGGCAACTGACGACCACAAGCCTTGCATGCCACGATACAAAAAGCATAGCCGCTTGTGTCGGCACTACACACTTCTCATGCCCCATCTTGTGTTGCACAAGGCACTATTCCGGTGGTTTTATGTTGCGTCTTCACACTGCACGAAAACACCCGCCAGCACAATCGCGGGTAGTTTTCCTCCATGGGTGGTTGGTGGCGTTTGGAAAAGCGGATGGTGGAAGCGAGAACCGTGTCCGTAAAACCTTAGGTCACTGGTACTCTTGGCGGGAGCTAGGCGTACAAACGGGGACAGCTAGGCCCTGCGACGCGCGCCAAAAAACAAACTCAAAGCTCGTACTGGAGGCACGGCTCGACTCACGATCATCGATCCGGACGTGAGGATGGGCAGCGTCCATGTGGGATCGGGCGCGTTCAAGTTCATCATCCAGTCCAAGCCCCCTGTCATGTAGCCAGGGAAGTACGTTCCCATCTGTAGGGGTCCCGAACGGGAAGCAAAAAAAAAAAGAAGCACACGGTTCCCCCGCATGCGTTTGGGAACACCAGGCGACGCGGGAACGAACGGAAAGGATGAACGATCTCACGCCCATGAACGGCTAAACACGGCAATAGAAAGGATAACACCAAACCAAGCGCCACAAGAGCTACTGTAGAATATTACCTTGTACCACAGGCGCCCGGCGTCCACTTGTCGTTTTCCTTCTCACGTCTCGGGGGAGGATCATCACAGGCGTTTCGTCATGACCCGGAAGTCCTCTTGGCTTGAGGTGGACGGGCTGCCAGCTACCCGAACCAAACCAACGTCAATCCATCCACCATCAGCCCATCGACGACAATACTATCACAAACTCGAAACAGCCCGAGCGAGCCAACCAACACTCGACCAATCAAATCGTACTACCCTCTGCCGAACAAGCTTCTGCCATACGGCTGTACAGCGAAGGCACACCGTGAGACAAAACATTGACAACAAAAATGGCGATACAATAACCATCACATGCACATGTCTCACATCTCTGGTTGCGAGGAAGAGCGAAATGAACACCGGGAACTGCGCAAACATGGACAGCATCATCTTGGGGAAGTGGATCCTGTGTTGCTTGAGCAGGTTCCCCATCTCCTGCGAAACGAGCATCATCTCCGCCATCGCGGCTTCCTTGATCTCCGGGTTGGCCTCCATCTGGGTTTCGATTCAGGAGAGAGGCGTGCGACAAGTCAACACCAAGACAAACCCGACACGTGAGTCATACGATAAGCGATGCGAAAGCAGCAGCAAACTACTGTATAGGCTCGCAAGTCCTCTACACATGCAGCCTGCAACCTCGTGGATTATCGTGGGCTTTGTTGAGGGAAGCGGCGCCGGCTGTTTATCGAGAAACAGCTCAAGCTACGGGGGCAGCTAGGAATCATGGACCATCCACAAACAACCCACTGCGGGCGCCATTCGTAATATTTCCCCACAATACTGCGGTCTATCGTGTAAGCACTCGCTTCGTGTAAACTCGTGGATTGTCGTGGGCTTTGTTGAGGGAAGCGGCGCCGGCTGTTTATCGAGAACCAGCTCAAGCTACGGGGGCAACGAGGAATCATGGACCATCCACAAACAACCCACGGCGGGCGCCATTCGTAATATTTCCCCACAATACTGCGGTCTATCATGTAAGCACTCGCTTCGTGTAAACACCGGTAGTCTATACCTCATTCAGGAGAGAAAAAAGATAAGGGCAATCGCGACTCCCACAGTCTCAACAACCACGAAGCCTATTAATAGAGCATCTGAGAGAAACTGACCGGACCAAGTTCGCGAGATTATGTGTATCCGCATAGACGGACTGTTCCGGTGCTTCGGCATGATGCGTGAAAACGAGTTTGACCGGGCACCGTTTGTGCGTTGAACTCCAACACATCAGCACATCGCGTATCAAGATCTGGAGGATATCGGTCAATGACGGCCATCAGCGGCAAGGATGGTAAACGAAGATAATGATTGTCGTCGGCATCTCTTGTGTAGAGTAAACCTATGTTGTAGGGGTACTTGGTTATGACCAGCCTCGGCAGTCGATCGCTACAACTGTTATCGGGCGAGTGTTCTCAAAGCTACCTCTTCCTTCTGTGGAGCTCTTGATACTCAGCAGTCTGAAATGCGCCGCGCTGCTGTAGCAGGCACAAGCCCAAGACGACCGATACCTCCAAGGTTTAACGGTCTCCAACAGCAAAGTAGCGAGTGCATACGCAAGGATGCAGTGCTACGTGTTACTCTCACCCTGTTCTTGATGTCCTGCATCTTTCCTTGATGCACCGCCATTTCCGGCTTGATCATGTTCAGGCGCTTGGACATGCCGAGCTAGTTGAAGAAAGAAACAAAGCCACCAATTGCACCAAAAGACGCATAACGAAAGCGGTCAGTCAAAGTCGAGGATAACACGAAGAGGAAGCTCGAGACGAACAAAACGGACAAAACAACATGCGCTATCTACAACGTACCATGCCCACCAATTTTGGCCGTGCCAGGCGACGCATAAGCGTATACCCCCAAATTCGTAACCGCAATGTAGCACGATACAGAAAGATCAACAGCCGCGGGGGAACTAGTTGGTAGGCTTGGAGTGTTCTGTGGAACTTGGTTTATGCACCGGCATCCAGCGTGCAGTGTTGAGGGCAAGATGGTCGAGTACGTCACGCCAGCCAGGTGCAGGGGCGCCCGTTCGCGCTACTGTACAGCCGTGCATGTGCTCCAGGCGCAGCTTGAGCCACCGTGCATGGACACAGAACTTCGCCATGCAGAAGGTAGCCGCCACCGCCGACGCCTCCGCGTGAACTGTACTTTCTACAACGCGGCCTCGTGAGCATCCCCCAACTCAACTTCTTATCACCCAAAGCATGCTTGGTGTGCTGCCTGCTGTTTCTCTGCGTCATTGTACCACCCCCTCCCCCCGTGTATACCCGCGCTATTCGCGGTCTTCTACTGTCGTACACAAACCAACAACACAAAATCATCGTTCTTCTTCGCTCACAAAAGTTGCCACGGCCGGCAGCACCGCTATCCGAGCGGCGACGGAGACCATCACGATCGCCTCCCAGTAGGGCACACCGGCGGTCGCTTGGACGTACCTAAAGTACCATGTGCGAGGACGACAAAAAAAAACAGAAGCAAGAGATAAACAAGCTTCCGTCAGCTAGGGTACGGGACAACGGAGTGGGATCGAAAGCAGATGAAACCTCGATGGCACGCGCGTTCATTGGGTGATTGCCGTGCTTCGGTGAAGATGGAGGGGGGGGGGGGGGGACACGCAACGGGGGTCAACGAGCCCAGCCATGCGGTCGGAATGAACGCAAACAACGCAACGGACGACCGGAGGGTGCACCACCGGGTTATCCCTCACATGATCCACATGACACCGCGGCTACTGCAAGGGTGGCCAATGAAACCTCGGCGAGGCTGCTGCTGTAGATTCTCTTCAGACCTTCGCTGCATGCGGCAGTGAGCGCGACTCTATCCACACGGTTGTCTTCACAACATGCCAAGGACATGCAGAAGGAGGATACTTCCACCACTTCAAGAACGGCGGCGGCGTGTGCACAACAAAACGGGCACCCGACCGCCGAGGGAGGGACACAACAACAAAAAAAACATCAAAGAAAACAAAACAACACTCACTCGATCACGTGCATGAAGAGGTGGTGAGGGTACATGCCGAGGTCCGCGGCTGACAGTCCCGTGGCGGTCATGGCCGTGCCAACCGCAGAAGCGTCCGGCGCCGCCCCTGCCACGGCGTCCAACGCCGCGGCAGCAGAGTCAACAGAAAAGCCTTCCCCGACGTCGAAACCCGGCACGGAGGCGTCTTGCGGTATCTCCGGGGGGACCTCGTCAGGCGCCCACGCGTCCGGGGGTGCGGACCACCCATCCGCTGCGGGGTGGGGTTGACACATGGAAAAAAAAAAAATGGCGCATATTGTACAGGGGGAGGGGAGAAAGATCTATTTACGGACGAAGTCTGCATCAGCGAAAATCACGTCGCCGTGTTGTACGTCAATTGATTGATGGGCATGCATTCAATCAACGAGCAGGCCGGCGTTGAAGGAAGGACGACAGGATGAGGCAAAAGGGAAGCCTGCAACACCAGGAAGTTGCCGATGCTGTGCATACATGCCACGTTTTAGCGATCACGGCTGAGGTGAAACATTTGAGACCACGAGGTACGCTGCGCACGTGCCCGTAAGAACATTTTCAACTTCCTCCGTGTACATCATGCACTATTATCCTGTGGCAACACGGGGTTGTCAGGAAGATACACACCCAGCCAATCAGCAAGCGGGGGAGGACACGGAGCGACAGACAACAAAATCACACACCGTCTGCAGCTCCTCCCGTCTCAGGAAAACCAGCGCTGTCCTCGCTGCCGCTGCCGCTGTCGCTGCCGCTGCCGCTGCTTCCTGCCTGGGAACCATCGCCACCGCTCCGCCTATTTTGAACGACAAACACGGTTACGCTCAAGGTTGTCAAGACTCCAGCGACCTCGCCCCTGGGTAATCTCTGCTGCAACCTGAACCGCGGTGTGTTGCGGTGTACATACATGTCGACACGGAAGCGAGGCCCGGCGTATTGCATCGTCTGGAACGTCGGCAGGCACAAACGCTGGTTTTCGAACGAGAAGTCATAACCATGGTGGCCGCCTTGCATTTCAGGAAAAAACATCTTCCCGTGGGGTCCGAGCGTCAATGAAGTTGCGGCTCGGCACAGACAACATCAAACAGAGGCATGTGGGTCGCTACGCTCAGTGCTTTGCTGCTCGGGGTGCCATCTCTCTTTCAGAGTCGGAATCTGCGTCGCAGGCAAGTCCGCATCGTAGGCCAAGTCTGGATCCCACCCAAGTTTTTTTTCCCTGCTATGTCTGCTGCGACGGCAGGAGTGGCATTCAGCTAAATACTGGTCTATAATGACGACCGCGTAAAACGATTGGTCCGGAACCAGATCTTGAGTAGAATGTCATTCTTCCTGGGTTAGAGTTCATGAGTCCTGGCTCGAGACGGCAACCCTAACCTTCATGATGGTTGCAACTGGCATCACGATTCATTCAGGTCGGGCACCCCTTGTGCGGGAAGTTCCTCTCCTTCGGCGAGCGCCGTCTTGGCTACATAGTATCCTGATTCCTGGGGTACTGGGTTAAAAGCCTTGGTCATCCACGGGTGCCGACCAATCGCGCAGGTAGGCACAACAGCGCATGGGATGGCATGAAGTTCCGAGAGCGGCTCAACCGCAACCCTCGTTTCACCCCCGAGTCACCGAGCGATGATATCGTCCCCGACAAGCGGTTTCGTCCGACGGCTACACGTTCCGTGACAGCTGTTTGAGTCACACAAATGCGATTGGAGGTTGCGAAAAGCCAACATGAGAACGTGTCCAATCGGTTGCATAGTAGCCTCATAAGGCATCGGGTTGTTGTAAACACCATACCAGCAAAAAAGGCCAACCTTCTTTGAACCCCGTTGGCACATGTTTTCTTCGCAAACTTGACTTGCTGGGTATGCCCGCATCAACCCATTGGAGAGGCCACGCTGCCCGCGGGCAAGTTGTACGTGGAGACCGATCGATAGTAAGGCCGCGCGCTACATGTACGTTGGTTTGATTTTATTCCCTTTGATGTACGTGGAGACCGATCGATAGCAAGGCCGCGCCCTACATGTACGTTGGTTTGATTTTATTGAGCCCTCCTAGCAGATAACCTGTGTAAGTTGGACTATATGCTACTACTGCTGTAGAAGGATAGTATGGAGCAGCCGTGTGGGCTTATCACTCAACGCAGTGCTGCTGGATGAGGCACCGAATGGCGTGGATCCGTCCAGGCCTGTACTGCTGTATTATATAGGGTCCTGCCTCCCCGGTTGGTCGCTGCTATACTGCTCTTCAGATGTCGAATTACAACGTGAAGAGCCCAAAGAAGGCACAGTTCGAGCAGTCTGACCAATACACTCGGACTCCATAGGTGATCCCAATTGGGAGCAGAAACCACCTGCGGTACAGATATCATGCACAGCAGTAATGTACTCGGAGTATCGAGTATGCATCGACATCCCAAGCTAGGTTTCCCCCACAACTCACCCCCAAAAGCTCCGTCGAGCCCCAACCGTCCCGCCTGCCGCCGCCGCTCCTCTCCACGCTGCTGACAAGTCTAGACCGCGCCCCCCACCCAAAGCAGCAGCTCCAATTGCGCTACCATCCCCTCCAAGCCTGGTAACGCTACTACTCCTGTGTCCCCTCTGCTGCAGTGCCGGTACGTGCAACGTTTGTGCCTGCAGAAGGTGCTGTGGCGGCCTCAGGTACCCACGACAGGTCCTCTTGCTGTTGTCGCTACCGTCATGGTGTGTCAACCGGTTTTCTGCTATTGCTGGTGCTGTTAGCGAGGCGCCGTTGCCGTGCACACGGCCCACGAGCCTTACGGAGGCCAAAAACGGAGGGAGGGGGAGCTATTTAGTGAAGTGACGTGGGGCATGGGGAGGGTGAAGTTGCTGCGTTGCTGCTGAGCGTTCTCGACAACAGATGTTACCAGTACACCAGGTACAACAACAGAGGTTATTGCTTTGTTAGACAACCAGCAATCTCTCTCTCACCTCCGGCTTTGCCTAGATAGACGTGCACCAGTCAACATGAAGACGCTGTGGGCAGCCGCGAAGCTGCGTAGCGTCTATCACCGTTCCTCGTTCTCCTGTCCCTGTTGGCGGTTGGCGGTGGGCGATGCTGTGGGTTCATCTTCTCCGGAGATCTGGTCGGCATTTTAGGCAAATAGTCTACCCCTGCCCCTCCATACATTCTTGAGGGCCTCTTTGCCATACGATCACAATACGATCCGTCTTTCAGCACCCGTGGATCTCGCTTTACAGTTGAACAGAGAGAGCCGGTTGGAGACGCTGCCGAGTGTAATCAGTCTCTGATACCTCTGTCTCTGAACTGACCCCCTCGGCCATTTGCCTGTTTGGGACATATACTGAGGGGTTCCTGTGGGCAAAAACCACGCGCAATTTCGGCTGGTGGTGAGGGTCGTTCAGATCATGATGTTTATTCAGATTGGTCATGGCGTCCACGCCGTTCTCCCGAGCACAGAAAATGAAAATCGCCACGCTGTTCGGTTGGTTTGTTAGCCAACACTCAACGGAAGGAAATTATTCGTGCGGTATATATGCCAGCAGTATGTGATAAACCGATCGGTGCGAAAGACTCGGGTGAAGCGCAACCTCAGGCAGCCAAACAAATAAAACAATGAAGTCAGAGGTGAAAATAGATCGATGTGAGCCTGCATCGCATGCTACCGCCTGTAGATAAGACCACCTGTAGATAAGGATCCGTTTCCTATGCATATGATGGAGCATACTACAGTAACGGAATGCGTTCTCGCATCTATGAGGAATTGTTGAAAGCAAGCCGACGAATATCGTCGGCGTTGCTAGTCCCAAGCTTTATATTTTTATTTTAGTCGCGTGTTGCGCGTGTGCTGACACCACGAACGGGAAGGACCTTAATTAGCCGACACACTACGCAATAATGGTCGTGATGGACGCGGGTACGCAATAAAAAAACAACACATACATCCGATCCTCGGGAAACACGAAATGCAACGTCTGTCCCTTGTACACACGGTAGGCACTCTGTCTGTCCCTTTAACACGGTACGTACTGCTTTTGCCTACCACTCTCGTCCTCTCGTCCGCATCAACAACAAACAATGCAACTTGCCGCACAACAAGAGCCATCCCTGCAGGAAAAAGCTGTACAAACAAGCAAAAAGCAGCTCCTGCTGCCGTAAGCTGCTGCTGTAGTACCATTTTTCAGCACGCACGAACAACAGATGCAGCACAGGCGAAGGAGCTGAGTCTGCCTGTCTGTGTCTGCGTCGGCGTGAGTAGGGGTGGGTGTGAGGTATCGATAGAGTAACGACAGGATGTTTTTTTATGTTTATTCTTCTTAATATGACACAACGAATCCATCTCCATCATAGAAAAGAGTCTGAGACAGATTAGCAATGAATTCATTGTGTATGGCATCTCGACGAGTATCGTCGCGTTGCCTGTCTGAAGCTTTCGATTTTTGCAGCGGGTAACAATCAAGTTCAAGGTAGACACCAAGAAGACGCCCGATGAGCACACAGGAACCGGGGGACCCCAAAAAACAAAGCATGAAAAACAAAAGAAAGAAAGAAGCGAGAACAAACGAGCCAGACGCGACAGGCTTCAGGGAGGAGGCAAAAGAGCGCATAGAAGAAATGCACCGTCGCCGCTCGCTCCGGACCGCTGGAAACTCTCACATAGCACTACATATGGAGCAAATATTAGGTAGGGCCCAAGTCCATTGCTTGGCATAACGCCCATCGCTTCACATGCAGCAGCCGGATGCACGGGTAGCCTCTTACTCAGCAAAAAGCGAAACGACTGCGGTTGGTTGACGTTCGATGTTGTTGGGACCCTACCGGCGAAAGGCGAGAGAGAGAGAAAGAGGGGTAGACAAAAATAAGAGAGCGGAGAGAAGACAAGGCATTGACTCTCTCGAGAAGAGAAGGCATTCACCCTCTCGAGAAGACACTCACTCTCGTCCCTCTGGCCCGCCGCAGGCTGTCAGACATGATGTCACGTTGTGTATCGAACGGCGATATCCGATGTCGGCTCAGCAACAGCAAACAAGCATAAGAACAAACAAATATAGTCAGTCGCCGTGTGCGAGCTGTGGACTATCTTGTTGTAGGAAGTGAGAACTAAAAAGAGCACGACTACATAGCACCACGGACGAACTATTATCGCAATACGCTTGCCGTCCGCCATAGATGCGCAACGCTGCACGAACGAGCTGTTGGTTATCATACCTCACTACGTAGTATCTAAGATTGTGCTGCCATCTACCTTACTTATCGCTCAAATTACGACTACGCAGCAGACTCAAGGCAAGGAAGCAACACGCGTGCCAATGCATACCACCCATGCATGCAGCAAAACAAAACAAGGCGGACCGTCTGTTGTTGTTTGTCTCTTCAACTGACTGTGCTGCCGACAACGACACTGGAAAAAAGTAGGAGACGCGCATCGCCTACGCGAGCAACGCGTGCAGCCCAAAACAACAGAGACGATAACCTTACGACCTTTCTTTTCAGCACATTCATTCCGAGCATATACTGCAGCAACCGCAAGTAAGTATGTGTACAGCAGCAGCCGCATGTTGTGTACAACAACGGTCACTCAGGAAGAAAATCACAACAACAAACAAACGCAAAAAAAAAAAGGTGGTGGCGCGCAGCACGCAGGACCCTCTTTCGCTTTGAACCGGCCATTCCCATGGCGAAACAGACAAGGTACAGCAGTGAAGGCCGACTCGTGCCGGCCCCAGGAGGCGGAAGCTGCTCAAACTCGGGGACGGGTCATGATTTGCGATTGATTCCTCACCGAACGGATATCGAACGATGACACTACTGTTTCAACTAGCTTCAGAAAAGCTTCAAAATTAATTGTGAAACTTGCAGAGTCATAGACATGGCAAGTCAACACCCCGTTCCAAAGAATATCTGTCGTTGATTTTTATTGACTTGCGGACCTTTCGGGGCCAGTTTGTTTTAGCGTACCTCTTTAGGGTAAGATAGCCTGTGACCACAGGAATCGACCGCATCAAGTGTTGGATCAGTACGGACATATGAAGGTACTGGGTAGAGAGAGATCGGAACGGTTTTTAATGCGAAGACAACAACAACAACAACATTTAAAACTGAACTAATGGGTGGTGGGCGGATGACCGGCGGACCCCAAAAAGAAAGCTGAAAAATTTAATATAGACTATGTTAAAGAAAAAAAAGAAAAAAAAGAAGGGACGACAAAGACAAGTTAGCCAGACGCGACAGGCTTCAGGGAGGTGGCAAAAGAGAGCATACGAAAACCACCGTCGCCGCTCGCTCTGAACCGCTGGAAGCTGTCACATAGCATAGCATGCAGCAAACAGTATAGGGGCCATGCCCCCGTTGCTTCAAGTAAAGAGGCAGCGCCCATAGCCTCACATACAGCAGCCGGGTACGTACTACACAAATAGCCTCTTATTACTCAGCAAGAAGAAAAACGATTGCGGTTGACGTTCGATGTTGTTGGGACCCCAACGGCGATAATAGGCGAGAGAGAGACAGGTGCTACTACTACGTAGACCAACAGAAGAAAGCGTAGAGAAGGCATTAATTAACTCTCGAGACCCCAACCCTAACCCTAACCCTAACCCTAACCCTAACCGAAGACACTCACTCTCGTCCCTGTGGCCCACCGCAGGCTGTAACGAACGGCGACATCCGATGTGTGCTCAGCAACAACAAACGCAACTAACCAAATATAGTCGCCGTTTCCGAACTAACTGTGGAGACTCTCTTTCATCACTTGTGGTATGAAGTATGAAGTCACAACGAAATAGAAAATGATGACGAGAAGCACCACGGACGAACTATTTTCTCAATACGCTTGCCGTCGCGATAGACGCGCACCGTTCCACGAACGACCAGTTGTCAAACCTCACTACGCAAATAAGATTGTCCTGCCGTCTACCCCTTATCGCTCAAATTACGACTACGCAGCACACTAAAGGTAAGTAAGGCAGCAACACGCTTGCGATGCTTTACCACCCATCCATGCATGTAAGGAAACAAAAAAAAAACTATGGCGGACCGTCTGTTGTCTGTATCTTCAACCGTGCTGCCGTTGCTTTTCTTCATGGATATCGGCACAGAGAAAAAATGAGGAATGCGCATCTCCTACGCGAGCACGGCGTGCAGCCCAAGCGACAGAGACGATAACCTTATGACCTTTGCAGCATCTTCCGAGCATAACAGCAGCCACCGCATGTGTACAACGGTCACTCACTATAGACTAAGGAAGAAAATCACAAAATCACTGGTTATCGCCCCACAGCGAGCGATAGCTGCTCAAACGACTGTGAGAGGTCTTGAAATCGTCTCAGCTACCCAGAACTGCTGGTAGTTGCCGGAGATTTGCAGGTACGTACTGCTTTTGCCTACCACTCTCTTCCTCTCGTCCGCACATCAACAACAACAATAAATAAATGCTAATTTTCGCACCACAAAAGAGCCATGCAGAAAGCTGCAACAACAACAGAACAAAAGCAGCTCCTGCTGTATGTACACAGAATGTCCAGCTGTGTGCTGAGGTCGGTCAGCATCTCGAGAGAAGCGTGGCCAGCAAGCAAGGCTTGGCGCGGGACACGAGAGAAGCAAGCAAGGCTTGGGGCGGGCGGCGAAAAAAAGAAGACGACTCTATATAAAAAGATCTGTAAAAAAGAAGGGTTGGCGCGGGCGGCGAAAAAAATGAAGACGACTCTTATACAAAAAGATCTATAAAAAGAGGACCCTCAACGACAAGTCAACCAATCTGGTCGTTCCGATGTGACGATGTAACGCAGATCTTCTTGTCGACGGAGAAACTGGTTATCGCCCCACAGCAAGCGATAGATGCTCAAACGACTGTGAGAGGTCTTGAAATCGTCTCAGCTACCCAGAACTGCTGGTAGTTCTCGGAGGTTCGCAGTGTGGGCTGAGATCGGCCTTTTCGACCCGGTCGGGCAAGGGGTCCGCTATGCTACTGAAAACTCCACAGACGGAAAAAAAAGACTTTTGATCGACTGA